GGGGCACGGGGGGCTGCTGTGCCGGGGCGCTGTGCGGGGCTGCTGTGCCGGGGCTGGCAGGGCCTGGGGAAGGTGAGGAACGGACCAGCCGGTCAGAGCTGGGAGGACAGGGTGTCACGGCTTCCAGTGCTCGGGGAAGAAACAAGGAGAGGAAGAGAGATAAAATCAGAGTTTCCATGCACGTGAAACACACAGGTAATTTATACTCAGTCATTTAGTTGACAAGGCCTCACCAGCTCTCTTTTTGTTCTCCAAAAAGAATCTCCGCAGGATTCTTTATTCCCTGATTATCATGATTTATTAACTTGTTTGACAAGACTCATTGCTCTAGAAACATCTTTTAGAGAAGAACGTAACCAAAAGTTCTTACTGGTCCCTCTGTGACAACAGTCACCCGTGAAAGCTTCAGCCAGCACAGAGTTGGAAGTCTGGGGGCTACTTCAGCAACTCGTAAAACTACAACTACCTGCTAAGCAGCTAGAAAGTACTTTCCTCTTCCTTCCACCAGCAACCAGTCTTCATAACTTAAAGCCATGTTTATTTTAAAAGGAAAAAAAAAAAAAAAAAAAAAAAAAGAAAACACAAAAAACAGGAGAGAATGTCGCCAAGAAAAACATTTTTTTGACATAAACCCAACAGGATAATCAGCACAAAAATGTAGCTAGCCTAATGATTAAATGTAATGGTCATCATCAGATAAAATCTGGTGCAGCAGGAAGCAACTCTTCCTCAGCGACTGTTCACTATCCTGCCTGTCTGCTCAGTGTCCCGAAAGACAATTCCTTAGAAAGCAGATTGTCAGCTCCAGAACTAACAGACACGGCCACTGGGGTTAGGAACTCAGGAGACTAGTAATATTCTAGCTTTACATCAACACAGGAAAATATAATAGCAATACAAACCAGTGTAGATCAAGTCAGCAATCAATGCAACTCCAACCCACTCAAAGAATTTTAGATAATATCTTCGGTGAACTATCTACTTCCGGTCCTACATGCCTATTTTCAAATACTTATTGTCACAGATTTCATGGAATGTTTTGCCACTAGTTACAATAGTATCAGGATTCAGCCTGCAATATTAATCTAAGGGCCCAAGCCAGCAATCACTTCACTCTCAACAAGTCCACTGAAGTCAACAGGAGACTCCCATTACACACTACTGACAGAACCCAGAGGTAAAAATGACTTCCACAAAAATGAAACTAACAGACCGTGAATATATCACAATGAGTTCCCTGTAGTTGACAGCTTATGGGCTACTGCCCAACATTTTGATTTTAAAAAGAGACTCTTGTATAAGGTAATGAAATAGGTGCCTTCAAGATGTACACTGGAGTGAGGAATAGTAATAGAAACCACCTCTTGCATCATTAAAACATGCCACCACAACAGAGGATAACACTCTTTGTCAGTTCAACTTAAATTTACCCAGTGTTCTTGGATTTCATTACCTTCTGTTTATTAAAATACGTTTTCTGTAATGAATAAATACTAATACTTTTGAAGGAAGTAATTTGCCAGAAGATAAAGAGACAGTACAGCAAATGAAAGTGTTGTCAAACTCTTGCAATGTATATAGGGAACCTTGAAACATATATTCCTGTGGTTTGCAAATACAGGCTGTTGGATGTACCTGTGATACCTGAACATTACAAAAGCATTTTTAGGACACAAGATCAAGTCATGATTTTAGTATTATGAAAATAGGGGAATGCTATCAATAACAGTGTGTTTATACCCAACATGTGGTGCTATTAAATTTTAATCCATGCAGTGATAAGAAAAAAATATTCTGAAGGTAGTGGCCAATCATGGACTAGAAACAATGCCCTGTCACATTTTCCATTGCAACTGCTAAAAATTTTGAAGACAACTTCTCCCTACACTGGCATTCCCCACCAAAAAAAAGTTTAATATTACATTTTTACATTAAAGCATAACAACATTTATTTCAGCATTTTAACTGCTGGGTTGAATTAACATAATTAGTCTAATATACATTTTCAAATAGCAAATTGCAGGAAAAGATACAGAATGCTATAACAGTCAAATTTTAGTTCAAGTCAGTGTGCTTGTAACTTTGGCTCTTATAAGCAATTTTTAGGTTATGTCTATGGTGCAGCTGGATGAGAGATAAAAGCAGAATTACACAACTAGTCACTTGACATGGACAAGCTAGCTGAGGTAGCAAAGCAGTGACAATGCAGCAGAAGAGACCTGAAGGTGCATTAAAAATCTTTTTATATAATCCAGGTGCTCTAAGGAGGTTTTAGAACAGCTCCTATTGCTGCCTTTTCTTTTCAGTGGTCACCAAATAACGCTCAGCAGAGGTTCTCAGTCAGCAAAAGGAAGAACATGGTTAAATAAGAGGTCAGAAAAATACAGAGAATATGACAACAAAATGCAGAAAATTAAGAGCAGAAAAACATTCCAGCAAAACTGAAAATATTGGTTGTTTTTTGTGATGGGAAGATTCAATGAGATAACAACCACTAATTATTACACAAAGTAAGGAATGGATAATTTAAAATAGATCAGGAACTTCTTCTTTCCATATTCATAACAAAAGAACTACTTCTAATGAAATTCAAGAATCTAATTAAAAATAAAAACTGTGCATAAAACAGTTTATGAAAAACCTCTACTACGAGAAGCCAAGCAGACTGACAAAAATGTTAGTATGGCTAACAGGAGTACCTGCTTTAGTAAGTTTTAATGCAAAATGTCAGAACCAAATGTTTATGAGCAGAAGCCAATCTGAAACTCTTAGAAGTTATACTGACTGCTGTGAGTTTTTCCACATTCTCTTAGTTCCTGTATCTTCCTCAGGAACCATCTCATGTTGAACATTGCTGGAAATGGGATTCTGTTTTACACTTCCTAATATTTACATACTTAGGTAGCAGAGGTCCTAATTCCCATAAAACAATAAGATACACATTCTTCATTATGAGAAATCATCTGTGGGGAGTGCAGAAATGAGAAAACCAACAACAACAGAACAGCTCCTGGAGCATGTTAATGTAACTGATGAGTCTGACCTGTCTATATCTGAATACATAGTGATGTGTCTGTATCTCTAGCTAGCTAGCTTTACTGGCACAGCACTGGAATGGCAAAAAAGCCAATGAGGTAATTTGCAAGAGGCATCTATGAGAATTTTATTGCTTATTGGTCAGTAATTTGTTAAGTTCTCTAGAGGGACTGTCTTCCTTTCCACAGCTGTGAAAAATTCTGCCATCCAGAATCATGGGTGATATTCTTAGAAGAAAATTTACAATTAAACCATTTAAGATTCCTTCCAAGATACTATAGTGATACCATTAGATTGTCTGTCCATTTTACAGTGAAGTTACTGAGAAAATGTTTTTCCATTCACCCATGGAAGTTCTTATGTTGAACTTCTCATAAGCTCTACTCCAGTTAAAAAATAAAAAAGGAAACAAGTGCAAATAGAAATGTTAATTAAGTGTGTAATTCCTAGAACAAATCTTAGAAAGAAAAATTCATTCTCTCAATGGAAACATCAGATATGCTAATGACTTAATAAATTATGCTTTTCAATAATTTTATTTTTATATTAAAGTACCTATCCAATTAATATTTCTGTTTTCTACTAAAATATTCTTTAAACTAGACATTACTTGAAGTGCCTGCCTGAGAAATACATATGGAAACCATGTGTATAAAGCAGTGTAATTATTAATACTGATGCTTTGCTAAGAGTTGATAGTGATGGAACACTTGCAAGTGCTGTTCCTAAACAATGATGCAATCAAGAATGTACCAGTTCTCTGGGGTGTTAAGTTGATAAACATTTGTGCAACAAGAACTTCTATTTTTCTTGATGTGATTAATGCGAACAAGATGATAAGAGAAACTAAAGGTAAAATTTGCTGCTATTTCTCTTTTAGTACAAAAATCCCTTGTGCCCCTATTTTGCCTATGAATATGCTTTATTGAAATTTCTGCACGTATATTAAATTAGGTTTAACACTTTAACATGACAAATAGGGGTTATTACATCGCAGCAGAGCATTCCAGCATTCCATTTCAATGTAAAATGAACATAATTATAGCAATTTTTGGCTTTGCTATTTTGCAGTAATGGAGGCTTGCATCTTTTGCAGAAACAACTTGTATATTTGTTTTCCTTGACTTTTTTCATGCTAACCTTTGTTTCCAGAGGCAAATTTACCAAGAATTATGATGTGCTATAAAGTGATATAAAGTAGTTTGTCTGGTGTATTTAATTTTTTATGGCTATTAGATTATTCACACTAAAAGAAAAATAAATGCAATATATAAATAAACCAGAGCAGCAAATAGCATTCTTACCAAAGGCCTGAGTTCTGGATGAGTCAAAATATATCCATTGTTTGTAATTGCGAAAGCATATCCATGAATACCTAACTGTAAAAGTAAATGAGAAAAAAAATACTAATTAGCATGGTCTCCATTAAATTCTTACACAAAATATCAAGCAAGAATTTAGATATGCGGGGCTGGCTTAAAGCTGGCATTCATAACCCTTATTCACAAAGCATTTCATTATAACATATGCAAAGCTCTGATCCTTGACATTTTGTGAAAATGAGAACCTGTCATTGTGATGAATTCAGCACACAGCACAATGTCACACACACTCTGCTATCTAGGACACTTATTTCTATGTGCTTTAGATTGAATTAGATATACACATATATACGAGATACTAGAGCATGTGCCAAAGCAAAGGGATACTGGAATTTAGTAAATTTATGCATTCCCAGAAGTGGCTGAATTCAGTTCACTTCACTTCTTCAAGAGAGGTTGTAAAAGAATAATTTAAATCAATGGTACTGGCTGTACAGTTATAGCAAGCAAGCAGCAGCCTATCATATGTGATATTTATGTCTTCCAGTCTTAAAGGCATAGCACCTTTCTGTTAATTCAGGATCATCTGAAGCTACAGTCAAAGGCAGAATTCTGCTAAGGAAACCCCTGTAAGTTTACATGGAACTCTGGGAGATCGCTAGAGAGCAATGAAATGCTTTATGAGGCCTAACAATATATGCAGTCAAATTCTGCACTGTACTTATTTAAATAACAATACTACTCTTTTAACAATATGCCTATTACACAGTTGATTGCACTGAATGCAATAAATATACCTTCAACTCATTTATGTGTTCAAACATCCCTTTTTAGCATAAACTTGCTGCTAATATAGATTCTTTCTGCAGCTTCAGCATTTAACTTTTACCATGAAAAGAGTACTTCTTACTATACTTTCTCACCTTTTTTTTTTTCCATTCTGAATAAGCATAATATAACACCTCATATATCCTTATTTAAGCATCTCGATGCACTGAGATAATAAAAAGCAAACAAACAAAAAAACTATACCCAGAACTCCAGAACTCTCTTGTTTGGTATTTACATTTCTCACTACTAACAGCTTTTTTTTTTTTACATCAGAACATTCTTAAATGCTTTGCTGAAGTGGATCCTTAGGAATTTGTCTTGCATAAAACAACATCAGCAAGCTGGACAAGTCAGAAAAATTTCTAAGAAGCAAGTCTGTTGGCCTCTGTAATTTTCTGGAAATATAAACCAGAGGACAATATCATGGCAAGGCCATAGAGAAAACATACCAGCCAGATTTATACCATCTCTCTGTGAATGAGTGTACATGGTCAACTGTATCTGGCATATAGAAGATTGTTTCATAAATTAGCAGTTTTCCTAAAGCAATAAACTTCAGTGAAAGTAATAGAAGGTGATATGTTCTTGGCTTCTCTTCATAAAGGAGGAATAACCAAATTAATAACAGTGGACATATTTTACCTATTACAGTATACCAAGTGAATTAGCTTGGCTAAATATCAGATCTCAAGTGTAATTGTGTTGATAACTGCAGAATGACATCCAAGCAGTGGAAGTCAGGTAAGGAAACAAATGTGGGTGGTACACTTCACAGGAAAAAAATATCTGCCCGTTTGAAGCATACCCAGACTCCAAGGGTAGTATTTTATTGTGTGTTATGCAATATGTGAAACTGCACACTCTCTGCACTTACAATGCTTCAGTTTGAGACACACTACTACTAACAGCAGTATTCCTGTTTTAAACCTTTAGCTCTGTCTCTAAATGAAAGATTCAGAAATAAAAAAAACCTTCTAACTGCCGTAAAATGCCCCATGAAAACTAAGTATTACTATATCCAACCCTACCTTATTGAGGAGAAACAGACATTGACATCTGGGGAAGTTTGGTCTAGGTAATGACTTCTGAAAATAGCTTTTTGTTATTATTCATCTTCCTCGGCCTAAAATCCACCTCATCCAAGCTGAGAGACTTCCAGGTCAGCAGAATTCTATTTCCAACCAATCACTTTATATCCCTGTGCCACTTTTATTTCACATGCTACCTCTGCAGGAATCGGTCTCAGGGGTGATTATGCTCTTGCAATTGCATGGCCTTTTTACTGCTCAGAAGTGTTTATGGTATGTGAGACTGGAAGTTATAACTCAAGTGATTTCACTAACCTAACTGTATTGCATGATATTGGTGCCTCCTGCAATAATCCTCTCTGGCATTATATCTTGCAACATAAAATGTACCTTCAAATAAAAAGTCTAATATTCAGAAAGAGGATCATATATTACTTCCACAGATAACTAAGTCTTAAAAAATATAATACTCTATGACAAAAAAAAAGATATTTTCTTGCCTATCTTCTTCTCTGAATCACTCTAACTCTGCTGCAATACCTGTTATTCAGGCCCCACACTCTCTCTAGGTTCTTGTATTTGGACTGTGTCCACATCTGACAGATGACTTCCCAATAACATCACTGTGATGCATCCTTTTCTATCCAGCCATGGACAGCCAGGCTTTCATTTCTGTAGTTACTACATCATTCTTCCTTCTCATTGCTCTACCCATAGTTCCTTAGAAGGCTGATCCAAATTTTGCAAAGCACAAATTTTGTTCCTCTCTTTTCTACCTTCCACAGATTCTGTATTTCTGCATACACAAAAATATAATACAAGTTGCAACTGACTTAACTTTGTTGTGCTGAAACTGCTTTCTGTTATTCTCCTGACCAATAATGCCCCTGGTAAGTATGTTGTGGTATCACTGTATCATCATCTGCTGCCTCTTCCCATAGTCTGCAAACTTTTTACAGTAATTTCACAATAGATTAAATAATGCACCTAATTTTGAAAATGTTTGCTGTAATAATTTTTAAATAATTTTATAGTAGAGTTGTCTCTGACTTTGGAAAACTAAGTAGCAAGTCTCTAGCAAATACTGGGTAGGAGAGAAGAAACCACTAATTCGGTTAGGCAGGAACTTGTTCAAGTTCCTGAAATGTGCCACTTGCTTTAATTCAAGGAGACAGCTGGTCTGGGACATGGGATTGGGACAGACAGGAAGTGCTACACACAAGCAGGAAGCCTAAAGCCGTGTTATATTGTGTGACTGAATAATTCAATCGATTCTGTTATGGAATTTACTTAGTCTTACCTTCTAGACTACACTGTGATCTGCGAAAACTTGAAGATTGAGACATATATTAATTTTGGTATTAAAAACTGCACAATCTGATCACAAATGTCATCTAGCCATCAGACACTACAGAGCTAAAATTCCTAAAGAAAATGAGTGAAATGATGGAGCTATACCAGCATAAATGAAATTAACATACAAATTAAATTATATTATAGGTGCTACACTGAGTGTTAAAGACATACTATCATTTGTGTATTACCTTGTATTTTGGAATAGTTTTTAAAAGCTCTTTAACTGGAACATCTGTGCCAACTACTCCCAGAAGAATCCCTTTAGATCTCTGAAAAAAATAATAAAAGATGCACGCAGAACCGAAATAGTAATGAACATTTTCACCACTCATTTCGCATTGTAACTTACCTGCAAAACTGAATAAATAGCAAACAAATCACATTAAAAATGGGGAAAGCATATGCTGGTACAACTCATCTGATCAGATAGTCATTTAATAAATAATTAAATTATTTTTTTTTCTCCTTTCTACTTTATCTGCAATTCACACAGAAAAGGCACACAATGTTTTTTTATAACTATCTAGTCCATCAACAGAAACCTTCCTCATGCAAATTGGTTTTTTTAGTTAGAAACTACTGTTAAAAATATATTACTCCCTTCTTTCCTAATTTCTTCTGCCATTTGATAAACAAAAAAGACAGATTAAGGACTAAGGGGAAATTACATGTAATTTTATTTAATAACCTGTTAATCAGTAAAGATAATATATATACATAAGATATATATGACCAATACAATTCTGAATCTAGAAGCATATCAGGGCAAAGAAAAAAAGATTATTTGCTGTAAAAAGGTAATATAGAAGAAAATCCAAAAGCTTAGCATCATCTGAGATTTTCTCTTAGACATAGGGTTCCATTATTTTACTGTGGTTTCTACATTAGAGTTATTTGGGAATATTTATCCTTGTGTTTTTATTCTAACAAAAGGATACTAAGTATAGAAAATATATATATATGTAAAAAAAAAAAAAAAAAAAAAAAAGAAGAAAAAAATTATAGAGTAGGCTAAAATATTATTAAGTCCCTGAAAGAAACTTTATTGCAGTCATCCCATCTTCACATACTCTGAGTACTTACAGTCTCATTTTGCTTACTAAATACTGGCATGGCAACAGTTGTCATCAACACCAATCCCTGATCATCAGCAAGCTGTATTTGAGAAAGAAATATTATCTCTAAGAACTAAGGAACAAATACAGACATGTGAATGCATTTCTCAATTACATTCTCTTCATTTTCAATGAGCTAAGGCAATTTATCAAAATGACACTTATATAGTTGGACTTAGTGCAGCCCAGCCCAGCCCTGACACCACTGCAGCTACACCAGCTCTGCCCACCCCCCCATCTGCACTGGCTGGAGAGATGCCTCCTCTTCATTCCTATTGCAGTCTCCCATGAGAGATACCAAATGGCTGAAATGTGGATTGTGGAAGCAACATGTGCAGTAGCAAAGCAGCTGGAGCTCTGTTCTACATCTTTCCCAGTGTCAGCTCTGCCAACATTGCCTCAGGCTGTTTTCTCCCAGCAAGGAAAAAGAGGTCATGAGTTGCATACACTTTGTTCTGATCCAGAGTGAGATCTCATCAGCTAACACAGCAGCAGAAAGGATGGCAGCCCAGGAGCATCTTTGCTCCATGAGGTTTTGGTTTGCCAGACAAAGAGGTGGCATGAAGCATTAGCTAATTCTGCACATAAGGTTTCAATGTAATTCTTCAATTTAGGGAGAAAACAGATCTCCTGACCTTGGTTCCACTCAAGTGAAACATGTAGAATGCTTATCATTGGCCATAGGAGAGTGACATTGCTCCGGCTGTTGTCTTCACACCCTCTGGCCAAGTTGTATCTTTGCCCTAAGACAAAGGTTAACAGTGAACTGCTCTGGATGCCTGTAGATCTTCACCATCTATATATGAGAGAGAACTCAAGCGGAAAGTTGAGAGAATTGAGTGTTGCTGTTAAACTCTTTCTGCCCCTATAATTTAGGAAGATGTTTAAAGTTGAAGAGGCTTATCCTTTATTTGAAAGCATGACATAACCAGTTATAATCACAACTGGAGGTTTTGTAGAACACAGACTGCTTTGTTGCAACTGTGCTATTCTCCAGCTACTCCTACATCACTATCACACTTTCTGTACTCAGGCAGTATTTCTAATACATTTTTTGAGAATTGTTGGCATTTTGAGTGGGGTTTTTTTTGTTAACAAAGCTTTTGTTATTAATAAAACAATAGTTACCAACTCCCCAAATTTTCAGAACATTATGACCAAGATATTTTATGAACCATGTTTCACATTAGCGAATCAGACAAATAAAGTCTAGAACATTCCATGTATTGCAGCTTCCAGTCTGCTTCAGGGGGGTTTCAGTTTCCCAAACAAGTATATTTCCTCAAGCACAGCACTATCTTATAGTGAGGAGGAGTGTTCGCAGCTATCAGATAGGAACACAAGTGGGGTTTAGGATCAAAAAGGTTTACACCTGATAAGGAGTCAACAGGGACACAAGGTGGAACCAACTTATGATCATGTTTGGGTTTTTTTGTTGTTTTCCTTTTCCATCAGGAGAGATATTTCCAGCCCTTAAATAATCCTTGACCTATTAAGCAATAATAAGTTATTAAACAACATAAGACAACCAACAAAAAACCCCAAAATGACAACTCTGCAAAACACTGGGAGTTCAGAAGGTACATTAAAATTCAAATGCAGCTAAACTAGCATAAAAATCTACTCTCCTTGGCCGGAGTAGTACAGCCAAGCATGCTGACATGATTTATATGGAGAGGAGCCTTCTATGGTATAACAGTCAATAGTCCCAAACACACGGACACCAGGACATGAAAAAGCTTTCTGCTGATAATGGGGTGACATCTTGGAGCATTTAGAGATTTTATGTAATTGCCCAGTGTTGTTGTTCACTGACATTATGTGTTTGTCGAGTATCAGTATGAGCCCACTCACTCTCAAGAGTTTACTAGAAACAATTTATTGGACAGGATGCCAGCCAAGGGACTGTCCGTAAAGTTTTAGGGTGTTTTAAATTCTTTAAGTGGAGAAAAGAAACAGTCTAGTTCCTGGGAAATTCTGAGAGAACAGGTCATTAACTCTCAAAACTATGAAAGCATGCAGAGATGGATTGCCTGTAATTATGGCATCTGTAAGTACCACCAAGGACTGGCTGTTGCAGCCATTTCTATGGAAGTGCAAGCGCCTAGTCTGGACTGTTTGGTTTTTTGTTTGGCTGATGTACAGGCTGTTGGCAACTTCCATAAGCAGAGTTACAAATAACTAGCTGATAGATTACTCATATCTGTGATGCTTCACTGAATCACCAACTCGAGCTGCAGTATTTGCTTCACAAAAGTTGTTAGATTGTGAGGAATTACCTGCTGGGGAGGAGCACAGCTTTATACCCTGGGCAATGACATTTTGGCAGAAATACTTCGTAATAGTAGAATGTTAGCCACTGGGTATTTCTGCTAGGACAATTAATGCTAGAAGCCATTAAAAAGCTGCAAAGGAAGCCCTGATCTAGGTATCTTGCATTGTTGCAAATAATAAAACCAATATGTAATTATAAATTCTCTAAATTACTGTACTAAATTTAACAGTTCAGCTTACTGTAGAATTACTAATAAACTCCTTGGTTAGTCAATTATTATTTGGTTTTGCCCAAAAGAAAATGCAAACAATCCTTACGATTCCCAGTCTCATCAATTGGACATCACAAAGTCATGGCTCAGAAAAGAATTATGTAGGCATTTATAAAAAGAAAATACAGTAGTCAAGCATTTTTTGCAGGGAACATCTTGGGTTTTGGGTTTGGTTTTTTTAAAGCACAAAATACATTTTTCTAAAAAGGCAACAAATCACTTGTTATTGGCAAATACAGAGAATGATACTTATCCTCATATGCAATAATGTCACCAGATGGATGGGTTACTAGTTACAGTGAAGAATTAGTGAAGCATGAAGTACCATGAATTTAATCCAAATATTTAAGTAGGCTGTACCTTATCCAGTTGTGTCCTTTCAGTTTCTTAGGAGTAAATAATATGAGTAACTAATACTAATAGTTACTGCCATTTTTAGCAAGATCCGCTTTACACGGCATGATGATTGCCAACAGTCTAATGATTCAGAATTCTTAAAAGCTGTAGGCTAAGTTTACCTGGTTCATCTTTACTAACAACCACATATTCTGAGGGTTGGCAGGGTTCATGGGAAACACAGAGTTAGGTTCTACAAAAATATACTAAGTTTATTATGTGTATAGTTTCTGCCGAAACAAAATGTTGCTGGCAGACCAGCTGTGTTCACAAATAAAAATCTATTTGGACCAAAGCACACTCAAATGTTGGAATCTCATCTAAATATATATATACAGAGCCACTAATAACTTTCAATTAATCCAACAATATTTTGAATTCTCATTCTGTTCTTAAAGAAAACCTTCTATTTCTTTTCTTCCCCTCTACTACTACACTGGGGTTTTTCCAGTGTTTAATAATGTCTCTCTACAAATCACTCTGAGTGTTAACAAAACAAACTCCTTTCTGTTTCTCCAATCTTTATATTCCTGATAAGTGTCTAAGCTAATTTTTTTACCTGAGGTACTATATTAGTTAACACACATAGGCTCTGACTAACATTAAAGTCCTGTCTCTTACCTATTTAGCAACATATTAATTACTGTGGTTTTATGTCCTTCAAGTGGTTACATAATAGCAAGAAAAAGGCAAGGAAACAAAAGCTGCTTCATCCCCAACCCTCCAGGAAAAGAAAAATTCCACTAGCAAGTTCCAACACTTGAGGCTACCAACAGATGTGAACTAAGGAAAAGGTATGTGCTTTGAAGTGCCTTTCAAAACACTTTATTGCTCAGAATTTTTTGCTATAAAATTAAACAATATAAAAAGCAGCATTCAAATGCATCTAACCACTTCTCAGATTCAGTACAACATCCTGCAGGGTATAAGACAGAACTAAATCAAAACCTATGGATTAGTACAAAAATAGTCTCAAATAATCGTTTTGTTGAATATTGCTGCCATTTCCTAGGGATGACATTTTCAAAGATGCATGAGGAAATTTAGTTTCCACATACCACTGATCTCTGTCAGGACTTAGACATGCAATTTCATTAGGCCTCTGAAAATTCTGGATAGTGGTTGTTGTTGCCCTTTTAGGAATACTGGCAATATATAACCATTAAGCCATCACTGAACAGCTTAGCAGTTTTAGGCCAGTGACGATAATTGTGCTCTAACTTGGAACTTTGCTCTGCTGAAATGTGTCTGTATAGACAAGCTGGTTATGGTCCCTTGCAACTTTTGAAGAAAGTACTTCCTGATTTCAGAAGTGGATGTAATCTCCAGTTTCTTCAAATTCTTGGTTTTGGATTACTAGAAACAAAAGGAAACTGACACAAATAAAAGAATTCAAGAGCAATGCTTAAGGTAATGTCAGATGCTTCATTCAGCAAAACAAAACTAGTCAAATGAAAATGAAATGAGAAAATAAGTGTAAGGATGCAAAAATTTTGGACAGAAAAAATAGACAAGCATGCAATAAATTACTCATGGCTTTTTTAAAAAGATATTACACATATCAAAGTCACTTTCTTAGAGAGTATTTTTGTGAAAATAGCCAAATTGGTCCAGGCCTGTATTATTTATTTATATTTCTAGAGCAATTTTTAAATATATATTTCCATACACTTCCCAATATTTATTTAGATCTGTATTTCTAAAAGCACTAACCACCTTAAAAGTCAGACATCAGCAACCCTTCTCTTTTTTACAGTAAGCAATCTTCATGCTAGCTATACAGAACTCTGACTATATGCAGCATGGCACTAAGAGCCTGTCCTTTCAGATTTTTCTTACTCTGTTAGATATTTACTCCTCATAGAATAGCAAGAAGTTCCTGCTTTTTCAAAAGCCAAATTAGCATGTTTACATGAGTCTTCTGTATTTCAGAACAGAACCCTGAGTTTACCTTATCACAGGAATTCTGCAAAGACATTTTATTCAAGCAAGGATTTATCCATCTGAATATTGGAATGTTTCATTTTGCAAGCATGGAATGTAATACTGGGGAAGCAGGCTGCCCCGTAAAACACAGTGGTCACTGTTTAGGGAAAAG